TTTCGGGATCTTGTTGCGACCAGGAAAAGCCACAAGCTGAGGCTGAGCAGGGGCCATGCTTGCATGCTAAGCCCTGTACGAACAGGCCCCGAGCCACAGAAGAAAAACCGGCAGGCAAAGCCAAGAAAGGGGGGACAGGAGCCTCCAAACACCCAAAAACCACGAAAAGGGGGACTACACGTTTGCGAGCCGAGACGCTTAGTAGTAGTAGTAGTAGTAGTAGTAGTAGTAGTAGTAGTAGTATTAGTAGTAGTAGTAGTAGTAGTAGTAGTATTATTAGTAGCAGTAGTAGTAGTAGTAGTAGTAGTAGTAGTAGTCGTCGTAACACTGTAGAGGGTCGCTGATCAGGTTTCGAGGCCGGGACTTCAGACCCGGGCCGTGAGCTTGTCGGAATAAAGGAAGCTACCGCGGATGCCCGTTCAGAGGCGCAAAAGCCAAGCAAAGCAACTACATTACATCCACAAGAATGGCAACTCGTCCGAGCTGTGAATATCCTAGCGCACGCAGAGCATATTAATACTACGAGCCTAGCGCGACGGCAATGCACTGTACACTGTACATGATGCCGAAGCACCACTCTGGGCAATCCGGGAAAAGATCTAAACGAAGCTTGCGGCCACGGCCTGATTGGCCTGCAAGCAAATCGCCGAACCGTGCTCTGACTTTGAACCTTCGGGTCTCGACGACCCGAATCAGCCTTACGTCTGTCTCTTCACCCAGGACAGAGATTTACTCCCGGCGTGGCTCCGCAGAAGTGCCACGACCTCCGCAAGCGACACATGAAACTTCATCTCACGATATGTTCGCTGGGAGATCGGGGGGAGAAACCCTCTCGAGAGCCCGCCTCGGTGCTGTCACCTCTGCCCTTTTGGGCGAAGTCCTCGGCTGTCCGGCCACAGGAGGTCCGCTGCAGTGGGTCCGCACCTGACGGTTCCCACTTAAAGCTTGTGACGACGAAGTCGTGCACCTTGACAACCACATCCCAACAGAAAGTTTGGACTGTGGCGACAGCTCCTTCAGCCAGCAACGCGCGGATGATCTTGTCGTCACAGAGGCGAGCTGCTACATGGATTGGGTAGACCTCGACTGGAAAGCAGAATTCGATTGTCCAGCAGGAGCTGCATGCCGTCGCCACGCACTAGCAAAGGCTGTCACAGGACGAACGAAGCGTGCAAAATAATCTCACTGGCTGAGCAAGAGCCGATTTCTTCGAGAGACGAGTTTGAAGTTTCACAGTTCCAAGCAGCGCTCTCCCTCGAGAAGAAGCCGCAGCCAGCAGGCAAGCGGGGTTCCGACACCTTCGGGGACGGAACAGCTTGGAGGGGTAAGTTGGCACAAATAATGAGAACTAACCAGGCTAGAAGTACTTTGAATCCTTCGCTGCCCACTCTGACCACTCGACCTCTCGCTTTACTCAAAACCCTCTGAGCCAAGCGCATCTGAGAACCCGTGCTTCGCCAAGAACCTCATGCATCTTGGCATGATCAGACTACCGTCGCGGCTAGTGACTGGAAGGACAGCCTGGGTGCGGGGACAGAGACATCTGAGAACGTGCTGAAGAAGCCCTAGACCATGGTGCTTCTCTCCTTGAAAACCAACTTATTCTGCCACCTTGCACTTCTCATGGCGCTCGACCCATAGCAATGGCAAGAGTAGTCCAACTGCCAAGAGGAAGAGCGACATAATTATAGTTTCGGTCGTGGCGTGACATGAGAAAGAATGAGAACCATGAAAAAGGCTGATGGACAATGTTCTGCCATGCAAGGCAGTATCATAGTTTCTCCCAGCAGTGGTGTTTGCATTTTGCCAGTAGTATGAGCAAAACTCGCCGTTGGGATGCACAGGATATGTGTTGTCAACAAACACCATACATGTTGTTCGTGCTTTGCTAATGCTACCAATATTGACAATCTTGTTAATATTGAAAGTATATGACAATGGTTACTTTTAAAAGACGAGATGACACAAAAAGCACACCAAAAAACAAAGCACGGCACTGACAATAAAGCACATGTGAAACCCGAATCGAAACTAAGAGTACATGCGTCCTTGTGGCACGGGTTGGACATGTCTTGCACGGTAGCACGTCAGGCACAGCAACATGCATGAAGTTCAGCGTCAGCAATCTTAACAATACTGGCTAGGTCAGAACTTGCTTGAACTACGGAGCCTCGAAGAGACTATATAATCTAGATTTGGAGCATATAGCAGAAAGGAATGTTGTTGGGAATATTGCTGACACTGGCGATACCCACAGGATTCTAAGAGTAGCAGGTGCAACCTCTTGAAACATCAGCACCTTTTCAGTCCAGTTCAACAATCCTGGCTATGATGGTAATGGATATAGTGGTGCTGGCATGCATACTAGTAGCACTATGATCATCTCATCTGCACAACACCGGTACGACCAATGATCAGCAATTACGCCAAAAGGTCACCTGGCGGTCCACTCCCTACAGTTCCAAGAGAACCCCTCAACTTCGCAAGACCACCCCATGAGATCCCATGAGTCTTAATATGTACGCCAAGCTGAGCTGATTCTCACCCAAAAACCTTCTAAAGCGTGGTGGGATGGGGGTTCATCAAGTTCGGGATGCCAAAGCAATGGAGTAGCTGTGGAAAGAACGCAATGGCAATTGAAAATGTGCCCCAGGCCATTCGCCTGGAGCCCATGCCGCACATGCACGCGCAATGCAATCACCAAAGCCCTTGCATCCGAACGTAAGACCCAAGAGTGTTGCCACACTGTTTGAGGAACAACAGTAAAACTGCAGAAACCACCATCACAACAATGTTACTAGGTGAATCTAACTATCATTTCTTCAAGGAAAAATTAAAGCCGTGCATTCTCCCCAAGCGGCTCTCGAAGCTTTTGTCTTCGTGTGAGCTGACACTGGCTTGCACATGGGTCGTCCAGGACGCCTGCTTCGGTCATCTGGGCTGGGCTGGAACACGATACCCAAAACACTTGCACGTGCAGGGGGCCAACGCCATGAGAAACAGGGCTATTGGCACAGGCAAGCAACGTCCTTGATCTTCGGCCTTCGGGAATTATTGAATACCAGTCTTCGCAACAGCGTGATTGCACCGATTGGACAGCGCACAATCGGCGAGTTATGTTCTTCGGCCGCCGTGTTAAGATGTGCCGACCAATGACGTGTGCAAGGATATGCATGCCTACAGGAACAACAACGTCCACAGAGCTTAGTCAGTCACTAGTCAATCACAGTACCGCATTCCCATTTTTCGGAAGGCCCGCACCTTCAAGAGTCAGTGTTCTCATGTCGACCTCCAACTTTCAAGCCCAACCCACCTGCCTGAAACGATTTGAGAAAGACGTTCCAGGCCAGCGTCAGGGTCCACAAAGGACGAGCCGCTGCAAGATCGCTGGAGCATGATTCCTTATGAAACTTCGAATCTCACACGCTTCCACTACCGACATAAACTGGAGCATCGAACTAGTCCGCACGAAAACTGCCCGAAAGACACTGCACGCAACGTAGGAACGACGCTGATGTGCTACACCTTACCTTTCATCACATTGGCTAGGCAGCTAAAGCTTCAACTCAAGAATACCGTCCAATTTATGCCAGGAACCAGCAGGCCGACCTTCTGTCACAGCAGGCCAAGGTCACCGAAATCTTGAGCCTCGTAAGATGACAGGAAACTCGCCAGGCGCTCAAAGTTTGTGAAGACTCCGACACATGGGGCATATTTCCGTTTGGGTGCGTAAGTTTGGCGACTTGGGGAGCTCCGTCTTGTCAAGATTCGACATCATGAAGCATCATTAGTACTATGGTACTATAGTACTATAATGCTTTACAACTATAGTACTATAGTATTATAGAATGCGGCCCTCGGAAACCGCTCTGCAGGATCTGCGAGCCACCCATGCTTTTTCTCGACACGAGCGTGTCGGGACGATCTTTGCATCGCACATGGAACCGAAATAAGGCGTCAAAAGAGACAGGGTTTAGCTGGAGAATTGAGACCGGAACTGGCTGTGTGCCATAACGACACGGAGCAGCTTCACGGGAACACAGGGTAGCTGCCCACGAAGTCCAAGGCACACTTGCTTCGCAAGGTCGCTCAAAGACTTCTGCTGCTTTATACTAAAAAATTCCTGCTACAATTCAACCTGGAAGCTTGCTGCTACCCAGGATGCATCGAAAAGGTCTTTGCTGCTTGGGTTGAATTGCAGACGGGCTCTCAAATCGACACCACCTTCTTTCTTCTCCAAGCTTCCTCCTCAAGAGCAGTGCGTTGGTTTCGGGACTGGGACACGGAGCTGCACTCGTCGTTCCAAAGCGTTGTGGCAGAGGGCTCATGTCCATCCGGAGTCCAAGTTCCCGAGGGCCTGGCCTAAAATCGGTTTCATTCGGTCCCTGTCCCTGGCACCCTTGTTGGCAAGGGAAACTCGGAGTCCTCGTCTTCGACATCCAAACATCGGCCTTCAGAAGGGAAGCGCAGAAAGTGAAGGCATTGCTGCATACATGCTAGCACGCCAGAATGCATGTCATGCAGTTATAAAATACCAAAACAGAAAAGAATACATCATGATTATGATGCAAAATGTCCCGAGACGTCAGCCAAAGCCACAAAACACTGAGAATCACGCCGAGAACTTGCACGTCAACCCGGTTGGGGTTGGGCCTTGCAAATTTCAACTCAAGGGCTCTTGAGTACTTATCTGATGTTTCTTGGATCGCGGCTGAGACTCACAGAGATCCGGGCACTCGTCTGAGCCCTCCTCTTCCTTGTGGCTAACATCCAAACCACTGCCGAAGAATCTGATCGGACATCTGTTGGGCCAGTCGCCGTGAATATGGCCGAAACATCGACGACCGAAGGCGTGCTCGGAGTGGTCCCTCCTCTGCCCCACAGGGCCCAAGCAGCCAAAATTTTCAAAGCTTACATGAGCCTTGAGAGACTTCTCAGTCGCGCACCTGGCGATGCGAAATGGGCCCCTGGCCGCAAACAAATCCTGTGCAGTTGAGCTGCGCCGATTGCATCGTCAGACCATCACACCAGCAGGCTCCCTACATATTCTAGATTCTAGCTGCTTGTATATGGAAAGCTGCATGGCAGAACTCAACGTGGCGGTTCCTGCGACAGTGGCGAAGGCTCCCGAAAGATTTTCTGCACATGGGACAGCTGACCTCGAGACAGCCAGGACGACATAACTCCCTCCAGAAGCTTGGAAGCAGCTGAAGCCAGGTGCAGCACTTCACGCACCATCCATTTATCTGCACACTCTCCGTGAAAGGCATGGCCACATGGCAGCTGTAACCTCGAAGGCCAGGCTCGGAGAGCCAGCCATGGAGCCAATGGAGAAATATGGAGAACTGAGCCCAGGGCAGCCCTGCCACCTGCGTAACCTTCTCACTCTCACTTTGAAGCAGGGAAGCGCTTAAAGCAGCAGGGACCAGGGGCCCTGAAATCACAAAGAACCCCTCCCCTGGCCTTGGAACCACGCTGTGGGCTGAAGGCCAAGTCTTCCTCGGAGTGCGGAAACCAGTGGCAGCGGAAGCAAAGAGAGCTTCCCGGAAGCACTCCGAGCATCGGTCTCTCAGCTCTGACAGCGACTCCAAACCTGCCAAATGGGGGAAAATCCCGGGGGCAGTGACAGAGCAAACGGCGATCTGGGTAGTTTTCTAAATTAGGGTCCCTTTTAGGGTCCTCTTACAAGGGTGCCGTATTATATTGGGGACCCTAATTTAGAGAACTACCCATCTACACTGAGCCACAAGCAGATTGCACAGTCGCCAGGACACGACGCGGCCTGCAGCTAGCCAAGCATTCCCTCAATGTCAACGATCATCGGGTGCCCGGCTAAGTTGTCACATTCAACCAACTGCGCTGAAGGTCCACCCACCAGCATCTTCCAGACCTCTGCAACACGGATCTAGCCTGTCTGTCTCGCAGCAAACCGTCCTGCGCATGACACATGTTTTGAGCATGGGCTGGGGGGCATGCCTTTCTCTTGAGACGTCGGATTTCAGGTGCCTGCTGTAGTCGTGACCAATGTCAAAAGTTGCGACTGGTGGCGTCAGGATACTACAAAGCACAGCAAAACATCCCGGCAAATCTGCAGTGTTTTGTTACGGCGGCTCTGATCCAAGTATGGGATGTGAACAGAACCACGAAGTGGTATCTTATGCCTGGCCTCGTGGGCATACAGGTAATGAACGAGGAAGAAATCCATGCTGACTCCCTGGCTGTGTATGCATCATCGAAACACGGACAGCACCTCTGCATAACGACTTCAGGACGGCACCATGGCCAGGCCGGCCATTGCGACCAACAGCCTGACCATGTTGTCCAACATATCTGCCATGTTGTAAACCTGCGCAGAATTGGCGTCGAGTAGCTAAAAATAATGAATGCCAGCTGACACGATGTACCATGACCAAGAAACGAGTGAAGTCTCGCGGATATACTGCCGGTGCACCACGAGTTGCTAACGATTT